TTGCACACTTGTAACAGCAAAATATGAATACAATACCAGAAGATGTTTTCTTGGATAAAGGCATGCGTAACCACAAGAGAAACCTTTAAAATACAAAGCACCTCTTTTCAGAAGCAGATATATACAGTCAAAAGAAATTTGTAGGTAACAAGAAACAAGCTTTTGAAATTCTACAGGATATCTAAAACATTTCAAAAAATAGCCTAAGAGAAAAGATTTCATCCCACACACAGAATATCACCAATTGTTATAATAGAGAGCCAAAGTGAACGTCAAGATCCAGTCAGGCACTTCAGCACAAATCTGATCATAAAGCCACATCTCTCTCATCAGTGAGAAAATAGTCCTAGTAAGAATAAGCATCTGCCACGCAAACCGAGGCCAGGGGAGTAACCTCGCTGTTTGAATGTGAGACGCAAGACACTGAGGACAGACCCGAGTGAGACACGGTACTTCACAGAGAGAAGGGTGAGTCACCAAATTAAAGAGAGTAATACACAGCTCTAACAACATCATCGCCACGTTCACAGATTGTCACCTCTGTAATTTCAGACATTGAACTAGGCTGGGAAATATAAGCTGATTTTTTTTATTTTTTTAATCCTATTAATTTTCATAGCACTTCTCTAGAAAAATGAACTTTAAAAGATCTTTTGAATAATCATCACATAGTACAACCTGGGGGGAGGCCCTTCAAGCCCAGGGGAAATGGTCTAAAGCTATTCCTGTGCTTTTACACTTATTGCCAGCCAAGACTCTGTCCAGAGACATGCTACCAATAAGCTGGCACTGAGAAATGTTGATCTTGCCTAAACTAACATGCTTCATCAAATACCATTTAATCTGTGGAGAAATAAAAAAAAAAAAACCCAAAAACCCAGAATCACGTATTTCTAGAATACCAAGGTGCTCCATTCCTGCGTTTTCCAAAGGAAACATTCTGATTTCAAAATGACTGTTTAGAACAGAAGTCACTGTTTCATTATATAAAAATTAATTTTACAAAAGAAAGGATCAAAATGCATTATTTCACTGAGATTGAAACAAGACAGCTGCATTGACCTTACTGTTTCCTTATTCATTCCAGATTTTGATCTTCATTTCAGTATTGGGAAATGAGAAAATCCAGACTTTTCTCATGCTAGTAGGTGACCGAGAGCATGGAACAACATGAACAACTGGAATCCAAGGGCCCAGAAGCAATGCAATGCAAAATACATCCTTGGGATTTCCATCATTTTTGTGTTTTGTTATGAATCTGTGATACTGCTGCCAGTTATTCCTTGAATCCATTTTCTATTTAATTGCTCATCATACAGATCTACCAGTTCTGCCAACTCGGGTAGTAACTCTTGCACTTAGTAGTCACCTGCTGTCCCATTTTTTTATACTGTTCCACACACCTAGACAAATGGCCACTGAACCCATGCAATCAGTTATACATGTACAGTAGGTCTTGAGGCAGATCTAAAAAAAGCCTATTTGTTCTCTCATACTCCCTTTTAATTTACAAACTAGTTGTCACATCTTCCTTCCACTTTCTTCTGTTTTCCCTTAATAGTCCAGATATGTTAGCAATGCATTAAACGTTCCCTGCCATTTTGCATTTTCATTAACAGAGAACTATTCTGTAAGAAAATCTGTATCCCCTGGTAAAGCCAAAAGATTGCTCACTGAAAGAAAAATGTTCTCCCTGTAGATAAAATAGTTCAGCCGTGCAAGTGTTGGCAGGAATATTTATTAAATACTCTGAATTACTAAACATTCAATACTGTGATGCTTTTGCAGATGATGGAAGAAAGCACTAAGTGGTTATCAGAATTTTGTATAAAAACTAGGATGAAGACAGATTTACTTCACTAAGATTTCAACTATTTAAACTAAGTCAGTAACCAGTACAGAAATTCATTTTTACTTGGTTTTTTTACTTGTCATAAAATTACTGTTTCATGGTCCTTTAAGCTGATGCAATCCAAATGAAATGTAGAAAACTGAACCCTGATTTTTTTTTATTTGGAGCTCAAGTTGCCAACTGGGAACACCAAGAACCCCCCAAAACCACCGTAGAAGCCTTCAATACATTGTGGTAAACTTCCACTCTGTCACATACAGTACCTCTGAGGGCTTTCTCAAAGGCCCATGTGGGGTGTGAAGATCCAATGCAATAACAAATATAAAAGCACGAGCATGACCAGAATATGAGGACAACTATTATCTCCAGATAAGATTCAGATAAACTCATCCAATAAATGTGGTATCCTTTTTTTTTTTCCCCTCAAGCACTTTCTGGTTTTAATTCACATGAGTTGTAATATTCTATAAGCAGTGTGGAAAAAACCTGCTGATGATTTTTTGTGGTGGTGGTACCTTGCTACGACTTCATTAATTACCATCCGAAGGCAATACACGCAAATGCATTAAGTTGACCAATATCCAGCAGCTTTGACCAAAATCCTCACCAAGCTTTTATTGTGAGGGGAGAGCCAGCAGCAAGAAACAACACGCAGAGAAAGTAAGGCCAGTCCCTGGTTATCAGTGATGCTTAATGCAAAGGGGCGAGCGATAAGCACTAATGGCATGGAAGCAGAGAGAAGAAAAAGCCCAGATGCTGAAGGATATTCACACTGCTCAGTTGAAAGTCTAAATCCTTCAGAGAAAACAGTTCTTAAGACAAAGAACTATGAGGAAAAAAGGCCACATCAAACTAGACTACATAAAGACATGCTGAATTTTTGTTTAATAAACTTTGTCTTGCTTATGAATGCTTTTTTTTCTACTTGAACACTCCTAACAGCCTTCTCCTCAACAAATCGGAGGTGCAAGGGATTAGGAGTTACAATGGATGCACTCAGCAGTAGCCTGCACCCACAGAATTCAGGTACCGCGTAGCGGAACAGTAAAAGGTCTGTTAAAGATGAACTCCTAAATTAGCATTTAATTCAACTTTGATTTCAAATAGTTTCATCTTTCCGTGAATCAGGCTAGTCAGCTGATTCTAAAATATTCACTGTTTATCTTAATTATTCCCATATTTAACTCTTAGCTTTTTGTTCCGAAAACATTTTCCTTCTCATTTATCTTGGCTACAGCTACATTAAGCAGCTTGTTGGTTTTCCTTCTGTTTGGATTTCATATTGACATTGTTACCTTCCATCTGGGGATACATTCAGCTTCATTAAACTTGTGCAGATCTGAAATCTTTCAGTAGCTTGTGTACTGTGCTGATTTTTCACTCTTGGATCCACATTTAATGCTATTTGGAGCATAAGACCTTGAGAAGGTAATGCTTTGTGTTTATTCTTATCTTCCCTTTCCACCTAATATCAAAAGCAGCCAGCTGGGGATAGAGGGTTTTCATATTTCATTTTCATCCGTCTACAGCTCCCTCATTTGTAAATGAGATTAACGTCTTTTTAATTAATCAACACTCTTTCAGGCTTCAGAGCAATACAAATCACTTAGGTACGACCTCTTGAAAGCGCTGTATTGAGCTGTGTCTGCCACGGGGCTCACTGCAGCACTAATCACAAGAATCGCAAGCACCACTTACCCGCAGCTTGTCTGGGGACAACAGCACGTTCCAGTATAAAGAATGGCCAGTGGGTGAATCCCACTGGAACAGCTGATGTGATAGGTAAGAGTGTCACAGCGATCGGCAGTGCCGGCCCTGGCAGACATCTGTGTTTCAGAGGCTGAACTGCATCCGTCCCCAATTTCACCTCAACTTGCTAACTGTGGTTGGTGCAAGAATTGTTCCCGAGGCCAAGAAAAGACGACTATGACTGCTGGGTTTAGTAATATTAACACTTGCTTCCAGACATTGCCAATGTTAAGGTCTGGGAAAGAGGAATACAGATTCCAACAACTTGTGCATACCTTTATATTTAAACTCTTTCTTATAAATATCATAAAAGTTGTAAACAATACACCTACTCATATATTACACACATAACATCTGGCAGACAATAGCTGAAAGAGAATTCATTCCAGTAAAAGCAATTTATTTCACAGAGCTCTGCCTTCAAATAACATTACTCTACTCAAAAACCCTGCCTGAGTGAGCAGAGTTTTAATTCTCAGTTTTATGTTTTGTGGCAGTTGAATTTCTGTCTCTGCCCACAGAAAAGATGTAGTATCACCACCTGTGACACCATTAAGTGCTTTGTGTTTTGGGTGTTTGGGTTTTTTTACATCTGTTAATTGACCCTCCACTACCCGCAATCAACTCCTGTCCAACTACAGACAAAGGTTAATTAAAGTGATTAGTGACTTTCTGGTTCACATGAAATCATTTACCATGAATGGCCAGGCAGAACAGTGACACCTGACAAAACATCTTAGGACCCAAAATTCTTAAAGGTAACCAGGCCAGATTTTCCAAAAAACATATTGACTGCAGTGATGATTAGTTATATCAGGATTTTTTAAGTCCTCTGGACTAGGCTTTTTTGTAGGAAGCTAACTACCTTTCAAGATTCTTGCCCCTTCCCCCACACTCTTCATATAGTCTTTACTTAAATGGTAAATAACAGAAATTAATGCTTCAACTTACGTTTCTCCTTTGCATTAGTTTTCTCATAACTTAGAGATCTGACTTTTGGTTGATGAATTGGACAACAATAGACCTTGTCACAAGGCAAAATGTCACAGAAATTCACTTCAGGGATCCTGCTGATGTGTTGCGTGCTCTGAGAAATTGTGCTTTCCCCCTGCAATGCTAAAGGCAAAAAAAAAAAAAAAAGACACAATTCTCACTAGTGCTGTGTGTCTATTGGCATTTTAGAATAGCACAGAAATTGAAAGCCTGTTACGTGTACGCAGACCAACAGAGATACCGTACCTGCTGTAGTGGCAGAGGGAGAGAGTAGAACAGAACTTGAGGTACTGCTGATGAAGAAAAACAATTCATTAAGAAATGGACATCAGAGTTGTGGACCAAAACAGGTTGGTCCACAATCTATTACTAATTCTAATGCAGTAACGCAAATTTAACTACTTGCCTGTAAATCGGATGGTTTTCAAAACGTCTGTCATGAATGCTAAGTAAATATAGGGTTGATATTGTCAAAGCACTGTAGAAAGAGAATTATTCTGTAGATTTACATCCATCTTCTTATGTAACATAATATGAATAACACCTTGACAGCACCTTGTCCAAATGTAGTAATGTAAGAGTTATCCGATCACTTTCCCTTTAGTGGGAAAAATTCCAACTGAATTTAATGGGGTTTAGATCAGATACTTGTATACAGTATTGTATTTGTATACCTGTATATATGTATATATACATATACTTGTATTCAACACAAAATATGGTCAGTTTTCCATTGTAAATAGAATCACAACACCCGTTCAAAGTACTCAGTTCACAGAGAGATTGTAATCAGTGGGGTTTTGGACTGGAAACAGAAAATGGCAATCTCTCCAGAGCATACTTTCCTTTCCACAAGTCCAATGTCACAAGCAAAACTTTCAGAGTCACAGGACTGCCCACCACACTGGGAACAAGTCCAGCTTCATTTCACCCAACAGAATCTCTCTGTACCTCAGAAATTGTACTTCGGCACAGAATGAATGCATAAAACATGCAGGGTCTCACGAGTCCAGCTTTGCCCCTGTAGCACGAGCCACCGAGATACATTCAAGGTGCACCATACACTGGGACGTGGACAGAGATTACCTGTGCGTGCACCACATCAGTATCTCATTTTTCTAAAATGATTTCAACTTTACAATATTACCAGGCATATTCACTGTTAATTTAAATACATTGTGTTCTCTGAGTAGGAAAGGTGAGAAGAAGAAAAAAATTGCAATCTTCTTTCTGGTGAGTAGAAAGGGGAAGGGAGAAACAAGTCAACTTGTTGATAATTAACTGTTACCATAGTGCCATAATAGCAATCAAAGTTATTATGGTCACCCGGAACATCTTCACAGAGCAAGACTCTTTCGTCTTTGACAAACAAACCTAGAAAAAAAAAACATGTTTGGTTAATTTAAGTGGCACATAACTAAGCTACTACTAGTAGATTAAGAAATACTACACTAGTCTGACTTTAAGTTAACCTTGTTTCTTTCGGAGGAACCATACAAGTCATCCTTATGTAGGGGTCAACGTCTAAAGAGAAAAACTTAAGTAATGAAAGGCTCCCTAAAACTGTGAGTGCACTGCACACTGTTGATAGTCTGGGGGCACAAACATTACACAGGAAGAAAGCTCCTTCTCTTTTCTTCCTGCCATTTTTCATACTCTTGAAGTATTTAAAAATCAAATTAAGAACTCAGTAAGCAGTGGCCAGAACTAAAAGAGGAGCAGCTTTCAGTATATGCTCAGGCCATGTTAAACCAGGGCTGGTGGAAATACAGAAAGGCACCTTCCAAACAAGCAGGATGATCTTAGATGATGGAGCATTTGATTGTCATCATGGAATAAGAACATCTGACCTATTATTTTCTCTTGCTCTTTGGCACTGGCAAAAGCAAGGTAGGCAAATGAGCATTGGTTCGTCTTGAAGAACAGGACTTAGCAGGCTAGAAAGACTGTCTCGAACAAGGTCAACATATATTTCCCCAACTCATTCAATCCCTGTGAAAAGGGGTCTCCTCTTTCTATACCAGGGTATGGGCAAGAGGAAGTCATTCAGCAATAGCAACGACGTCCCATCCAGGTCTTAACCACCTGAAAGACAGCACTACCCAGTACAAAACAGGAGATGCTAACTGCAAAGCACGGTGAAAGACTCATCCAAGGAAGAAAGCCAAGGAAGAATTACCACTGTGCAGACTCCCAAACTGCAGTGAGCATTTCTGTGTAAGGCTGCACTGCACCACAGGAGCACATCTACGGGCTCAACAACTCTGTCCTGTTGGTCTCCTCCTTCACACCATTAGACAGCGTGGATCTACTCGCACACCCACAATGTATAGGCAAGAAGTAGAAGTGCCTCATACATATTTTCTATCTCAGTGCAGCTAGTTTTTAAGCTTGTAGCATGACACTAAATAATTCTGGCTAAGGAATTTGATTCTATATTTAGAAACATGAAAGCTTTCACCGATATCTCAGCACTTACAAAAACCCTCTCATAGGCACATTTCATATATTTAATTTCACTCACCTTGCTGGATTTCAGCAGGACTGATTTTTTTGATGGCAAAAGACTAGTAGCTCGACTATACCTGCTGTAAGAGACAAGATCTCTTTAACATTCAAATGCTTTGGCAACTAACAAATGAAAAAGAGACATTTTCAATAGGGTGTTAATGTCACTTGCTTTTGCAATTTTAACATTTAAAAAGAGAAAGGCAGAAGTGTCATCAGATTCATTTTCAAGAACAAAGGCCTCCCGTTAACTTATTCAGGTGAATGCTATTAAATGCTACATTTGATTTCAAAGAAAACTTGGGGAAATGGTTTAGAAATAGGAAACACTCATCACTTCCACTGAAGCACTAATGAAGATTCTTTCTTGCAGAAGCAGCTCTGCAGACTTCTCTTAGCAGCAATTTCCAAGCTCCAGGGCTGTAACTGGACATAATCTACCTTTGCTTTATGCAACTGAAGCAATTACAAAAATGACTGCAATTTAACACCCATTTCAAATATTAATTTTGTCAGTGAGTTAAAAATTATGAGAAATTTGAAATTTTTGCACAACTTAAATGCTGGAAATGAGCTGAACTCCACTGTCGAGCAAAATCGGTTTTCGCTTCTACCACAGAGACCGCTTTACCAGTTTCTGTGACAACTATCAGAGAACATCCCAGACAGACGTACCTGACTTTGCTCTCTTCGCTGACTGTTGACTTTAAACTGCTCATCCGTTTCAGCCTGGCCAGTTTCCTGTTCCACTGTTCCAATTCTTCTATTCTGACTTCGAGATTGTTGGTTAGTTTACAAAGCTGCTTTACAGCACCAACGTTCTCCATAAAGATCTGATCCTGAGAAGCAAAACAATGACAAAAGTAGATACAGTATATTCATCAATCAGATGTAACAAGCTGTAATGAGTACAGAATTCACCTATATAAGGATACATTGAATATTTAAAATGCAAACACAAGTTATCTCACTGTAAATGGGACGCACTTACGACTCTAAACCCCTTTTGCTAGATTGTAAAAATTGCTTTTGTCGATTTGCAGTAAATTGAAAATGAGGACTTGCAGAAAAATTTGAAGAAGCTAAAGGGCTTTGTAGACCAAGAATTTAAACTATATTTTACCTTCATATTGCATTGAATTTGAAACCTTAACACTGTCAAAACAGGCATCTACTATTTGATTTGTAGTGCTGCAGCTGAACATAGATTTCAGAATCCCTTAGCAAAATGTACATCCAACCATCTGCCTACAGGATTGACTAACCTGGCTCAGACAAGCTAGAGCTTCCATCCATGTTGTACACATAACATGAATCACATGGGAGTCCCTGAGACAGGGAAAGATCCAAAGCAGAGGTCAAGCTGTGATGGTGTAATATTTTATTCTCCCCTTCAACCCCTCCAGCCTTTTACAGGAGTCCTATAAGTTCCAATACCGTGATCAGCTCTGCAACTACCACAGTTCGGACACCCTCCATTTACTCCTTCTGACTATTTTACCCAGGAAAAGCCTTGTATTCTTCTACCCCCTGCTTATCATCTAGGTATCAATCTGCTGCCAGAGAAGCCCAAGCATCCAAGTAGTATTTTATCCATTTCTGAGCCAAAAATGGTTACTGATCCACTGCAGGAGCATGGTAACAGCGTACTTTCTCCGCTCCGTTTGAAAGAATGGCTTTCTCATCCTAATGTACAACCAGACTGATGCCATTAAACCTTGGATGAAGCTATTACTGCAGTTAGTGTTGCTAAGTGTTCCAGTCTAGGCAAGTCATGCAGAAGTAAGGCAAAAGCAGAGTTTCGCCTTTCACGTTGTAAATGCCACACACACCTTTCTTTTAAAGGTGACTGCGTTCCACAAAAACAGACAATATTTTGTATAAACAGAACCTGAGCACAGGTATCAGTGGCAAGTTGCAAACTTCTCTACTGCCAGACCAACAGCCTGTTTAACTAAAAAGTGACTTCAAAATAACCTCCTGCGTCTAGAACTGTGAAATCATTTATACGGTCACTTGTCCTCATATCAATGATATGTAGCAGCTGCCCTTTCCATTCTCCTCAAATCGTGCATGAATCTTTTCTAGGTGACTTCAACTAGCTGAGAAAATGACTCATCTGGCAAAATGAAGGAATGCTTTCTTCGAGAAAAAAAGGACTGATTAGAGTTTTACTGCCCCACTGATGACAAAGTACTGACCACAGCGTGACCGAGAACAGCAGAAAGAGTCTTGTTCCAAAATAGCAAATTTCCACACAGTTGAGACATTTCTCTAGAAAGTAGCAGAGCCTGGTTCAAACGTGTAATGCAAACAATTAATTTTACAGGGTTCGACAGCTCCAAACAGGTAACTGACAAAGAGAAACAACCAAACCAGCCAATATCCTGCTGATCTGGAACTAAACGTGGAATGTGAGATAACAAAGTTCAGGGCCCCATCACCTGCCCTACTGAACGCAAAGATATGAAGCACTGTCCATTTACTACTCAAGGTGTGGGGCTGCTCTGGAGTTGGGAACTCCAGACATTGAAAGCAGATGTTCCGCCTGGACATCAGATGTTCCAACTCTCTGAATTCAATATACATCTTAAACTGTTAGACACAGATCTCCCCTGCCCCTGTCACCCCAAAGGTCACAGAACTGACATTCACATCCTCTGCCACAGGTGTTAGGAGGAAGAGGAGAAAGCGTGGATTAAAACGATGTCAAAGTGTTTGCGAAGCGATCCCAGACCTAGCGAAGTAGTCAAGAAAACGCTAAGCAGCAAAAAAAAGCCACTGCTGTAACAACTCAGTCCTGCTCAGGCCACGTCAGTGGCAGAATCAGGCCCCACCGGGTGCTGTAGGCTTTCTCCGTTTGCCGGGTCACATCCCTGGAAAACATCCTGAGGAGAAAGGGAACACTACGGGCCCAAATTTGTGTGATATTTCAGCAAAGGGAGAGGTAAGTCAAAAGCTCAATTGTCCTACCTAAAAGTTTTGTCAGAAAAAAACTGGCTACCCCAAAGCAGTTTTGGGGGGGCTCAGAAATGCAAAGGATGCTGCAGCCATCACACAGCGTAATGGGAAGGGCTGACGGACAAAACGACCTCGTGTCACTATCTAACACCACTGCTCTTCTGTGAGCACCTGACCAAATACAGCAAATTTTCTAAGTCTCCTTTTCAGCAGTATCTCTAGAAAGACCTCTTTCTGCAGGTTTATTCAAGGGGTCTCATTTGTGTTTCCTTTATATGGAATACAGCCTAGCAGATTTAACCTATGAATTTAACTTTTTTGTAGCCTATCAAAAGATGACAAGTGAAACGCAGTATTTTTTACAGATATTTTCTCCAAGTTTGGTGGTATACACTTTGTGTTTTCTATAGAATAACGAAAGAATGCACGGTTATAATGAATACAGGATCGCATTCATGGCATCATCCAGACAGGACAAGGTTCCCAATCTGTAAAACCTCCCTCTTCCCACTCTCAGCTGTAAGTGGGAAGAAGCCGGGACGTGGTCCTTGACCTGCAGCGAACCAGCGCACAACAGAGGGGCTGCTCCGAGCAAAGCTCCGGCCGAGCGCTGTCTGCCCTCAGCTGCGACCCACGGTCCCTTGCTGTCCTATTTCTACAGGGAAAGGATGGGGAGAGAGCACAGGACAATAGACTGAGGCATCGTTTCCAACCTCTGCGCATGGTAATTACTTTGTGTGCCATAAACATTTTGTAGTATGTGATTTTAAAGCTACAATAAGGATTTCAGATGGCCAAAGAAACCTTCCCACAGAGCACACGGAGCTAGCATTTGTATTTGGCATGAAAAAATAGAGTAAGGAAGTTTTTATTTAGCAAATAGAATGCCATCAGTGCTTAATTCACTTCTGGAACAATTAACTTAAACACTTAAACCCAAAAGAATATTTTGGAGTCCCACTTGTTGGACCAATGCTGTGAAATCACTACCCACCTTCATTCAGCAAAGTTAGGTTTTTTCCTTCTCTCTTTTACTGTATGTTTATTTGTTATTATAATGAGATTTTAATGTAAATACTTTTTGTCATTAAAGGATTCAGCCATTTACCAACATCTGGCTGTTCAGTTTTTCCTCAATGATTTGCCAAACACTATTTTTGTAAATACATGTGGAGGTCTACACCTTTCTATAAAGCATAGCACGTGCTTACAGCTCCACATACAAAAGGAACAATCTAAATACACACTTGCCTTTTCTCTCTCGAGACCATACCTTGTCAACCATGAGGAAGTTTTCTATTTTTTCTCCGTCATTACAGGCAACATCTCCAACTTCTCTAACAGCTTGAGGTAAAAGCTCCTTCACTTCCTGGGCTATTATTCCTGTTCACAAAATAACAAACTGAAGTCAGGGAACACAGTGGCACACCGTTGACCATAGTTGTGTGCATTGAGTAGATCATCCTAAAAGCTACAGGTATGGCCAAACATGATCTAGAATTTCTCTGTGGTAAGAAAATCCAGGATTTCACTTTTTTTTTTTTTCCATCCCACAGAAAACAAACAGAAACCTTTAGAATTCCCACTTCTCTGCAATAAAAACAAAATTGTTTGTGATCGCGTACTTAATTCTCCTTAAACCTCTGGAAAAACAACCTCCTATCTTTAAAAATTGAAACAGAAGTTGGAAAATTACCAGAAATACTTAATTTTGGCATTTTTCTACCACAGGAGATAGACGGCAAAGTGTGCAATTGTAGTATCCCAAGAAACGAGGATGAAACAGCAGGGTGTTAAAAGGCACTATGGCACAATGAACAACAGTGGAAGTTAATGAAAAATGGGAACAGAGCTGACTGAATACCTGTTTCATGGGTATTTTTTATTCCCATAACAGATGCAAATTCAGGCTTGTAGTCATACTCCACCAGCCTCATTTGTGTTATTCTTCTCAACTGCTCATTCGTATCAACCTAGTTGGACAAACACCAAGATTCACATGTTGCAACACCACGAACGTCACGGCATCGAGGACATCGCCGAGAGAGCGACAAGCCTGGCGCGGCCACTTGGGCCATCCGCACATCCAAAAATACGGACCATCTTCCCGCTCCCCATCAGCAGAGCGCTATTTGCATTGTATTTGCGTTGCCAGTGACCCTTCAGTCTGACAACTCCCATTTACACAGATATCCCAGCTTCCACGGCCAGCCTCTTCCAAAATCCATAGGCGATGGCTCTGCAGAGCAGAGCGCTGCAGCTGGTTTCTTTAGGCCAGCCTTTCCGCACACCCACCATAAAGCAGCTGCTTCATGTGTCAGAACGATGATCCACACGTGTGCTGTGGTGCAAACATAAATGCCCTAAATACTCCACAGCCCTCACCTCCCGGATATTCTGTTTTGCTCGGCTGTCAGATGGATGCATGACTCTGCCCATAACTTTTGCATTTCCGCAGACAACCAGTGCTTCGTCTGGTGCATCTGTGTTAATTCCTACTCGACCATGATAGACTATTGTCTCTGGAACATGTCCTCGCTGCCACAGTACATCATTGTCATTCTCAAACTGCCCTGGGTTAGATGCCTGGAAGAAAAAATTACGTTTAAAGGTACAGCATAGCATAGATGTACTATTGCTTATTCCATTAGAAATTCAGAGAAAATGGAAGGCTAAATCTTTAAATTGTATTCAAGAGCTTTTTTAACACCCCAAAAAAAAAAAAAAAAAAAAAAAAAAGAGTGGAGTCACTTCCAAGTGTTTCTGCTCACACAGCATTGGCCTCATTGCTTTTTCACTTGAATTCTACTTTATTATCACCTTAAGCTAAATTGCCAATGTCCAAAGCTTTCCAAATTCTAACTTCAACATTATGCCACATAACCATTCTTTATTTACCAGTAAATTTTAGCTGAGGCTGGAAATTGGAAAAGACCAAACAAGGTAGAGATTAAACACATGTGGTTCACCAAATCCTCTGTAATATTTTAAATTAACTCAGATCAGAAATTTCATGTCGAGGAAACAGGGTCTTCCAAAGAACACCAATAAAACAAGGGAGTGTGTAGAGTTAGAAAAGGCATTTGATTTCAACAATAAATTTTGTTAATTATTTTTTTTTAAACTTTGAATTCAGGCTTTAAAATTTGAGTCTGAACGAAAAGTATGATGACAATAAAAAGTTCGCATGCATTTAAAGAAGCCAGGCTTTTACAGGGCCTTACCATCTACAAGGCATGGTGCTCTGCACTTACCACTGTTTGTCACAATTAGAGCATGATCTGATATGCCTGATAACAAAACTACCAGCCGAGCAGTGGCTGTGTTATGTTTGAGTGTATAAAGGGCCAGAACACAAGCTGCTTTCTCTCACAGTGCATTTGCACAGCTTTGCCACTTTAAGGTAACCAGTGGCTGGCTCACTATATAACCTGCCACTGAAGCCCTCTCAGACATCTGGAAAATGAATTTTTTTTTTTTTCTGTTCAGCTTTCCTGTTGATGTTTTCACCACTTCAAATCACAGCCTCTTGATCCTTCTGCTTTTTTGCCTTCTTTTTTCTTTGTCTGGAATAGTGGCCAGGTTTGCAAAATCTCATTCCCTGGATTCCTATTAAAAAACTGTCTCAGACACATTGAAGGAGCTCTCCTTATTGAAATTTCAAAAGAATCTAACTTTAAAAATGGTAGAAAAATGTAAATTTCTAAATCATACACAAAAATACATGTCTTATAAGTTAACAATGATCCCAAGGATGAGTCAAATGTGAAAATTCAACAGCTTTCCCAAATTAGTAAAGACATGATATTTGTAACACTGCTAGATGCAGAAAGAGAAATTCAGATGAAAGCAGTATTGTGGAAATTAACGGACAAAAAAGGAAAAGAACTAAATACACAGGAATAATATAAACGTAATGCTTCAGTGTCCTGAAATAAAAGAACCCACAGCAACGGCCAGGATGATAAAACTTCTCGGCAGGGCAGAAAACTACTGAACTCCAAACATTGCTTTCAAAGCCCTTTCGCAGCTCCACCCAGCAAGGAGCTCTCGGCCACGCTGCCCTCCAAAAACCTAACCGTAACCGCGGGAAGAGGGCTTATGGCACGAGGGGACACAAAGTTATGGCCCGGATGGAAAAGGAGCCAGGACTGAAACCATCTGAAAGCCCTCGTCTTCCTTGGGAAACCCCTGTGCAACACCACACGTACTGGGGACTTGCACTTTTGCTCTCTCCAAACCCAAATGCTAAGCCAGGCTGTAATCATAAGCCTAGGCAGATGACGTGCTGCCAAAAAGGACCCAAGCAATCACCTACTGTCATGGTTTAACCCCAGCCGGCAACTAAGGACCACGCAGATGCTCGCTTGCTTCCCCGCACCTGGGGGGATGGGGAGAGAATTGGGGGGGGGGACTTCTAGGTTGATATAAAGACAGTTTAACAGGACAGAAAAGGAAGGAGGAAAAAAAAAAAGAAAAATAGTAATAATAATTAAAAAAAAAACACCATACAAAACAAGTGATGCACAATGCAATTGCTCACTTCTCGTCGATTGATGCCCAGTTAGTTCCCGAGCAGTGATCCACCTCCAGGCCAACCCCCCCCCAGTTTATGTACTGGACATGACATCACACGGTATGGAATACCCCTGTGGCCAGTTGGGGTCAGCTGTCCTGGCTGTGTCCCCTCCCAACTCCTTGTGCCCCTCCAGCCGTCTTGCTGGCTGGGCATGAGAAGCTGAAAAACCCTTGACTTGGTATAAACCCGACTGAGCAACGACTGAAAACATCAGTGTGTTATCAACATTCTTCTCATCCTAAATCCAAACCACAGCACTATACCAGCCACTGGGAAGAAAATGAGCTTCGTTTTGGCTGGAAGCCTACTCCTCATGATAAGCCAAGGACTAGAAAGACCCCAGGCAAACAAGAAGCAATTCCTCCATTGTCCCACACGAGAAAGTTCACTCGACCTCCCCATCCTCGGCAGCCCCACCACAGGGCACCTAGCCATCCCCTGTCTCCCTAAGCCCTCACCATAATCTTCACCCTAGAAATAACCATAACCCGAGACTATGCCCAGTTCAAACATTACCCAACGGCTATCGGTCACACGAAGAAGGGGCCAGGACTGAAGGAAAGCTTTCAGCAGCCCCCACCCGCGACCCCGCTGACGCTGGGGCTCTGCGCCTTCCCTCTCTCCTAACCCTCACCCCCCAGGGCTCCTCTTCCAACAGAGCTCTCTTCCGAGTCTAACTCTCACTGTAGGCTAAAGCTGAGGACTAAAAGGAAAAATTTATGTCGATCAGGGGACTGAAAAGTAATGGTCGTGAGGAAGAGAGACCAATTCTTCCTTTTTCTCTTTTGAAACCTGTATTACATCCACCAAATTAAGAGCTGGGACACTCTGGAAACACACCAGAAAGGGGCAGCTGGGGGTCTTAAATCCTCCTAGAGCTGCTTGACCTTCTTTCCTTGCATTTTTTTTCCTTCTCATCCTCCTTTGAAAATGAAGCATCTAGCCAATGAAAGCATTTACCAAATTCCTGGCAAGTGCAGGAAATTGTTTCACCTCAAAGAAAAAACAATCTGGAAAAATCAGTGTATTTTGTATTGGAATTCACAACAAGCTTTCTTTTTAAATTCTGCTATAGCTCTGCTTTTAACGTTTTAAAATCCTGATAATTAAAAGATAACAACATACTCATACAATATGCAACTGTAATTTTTTTCGCAATCTTTTTGAGTCAATGGTAATTTGTGTGCCCAAGAATCACCCTCCCCACAGTCTCCTGTGAATATCAAAACAGTAAATACTTTTAACATGAAAGCAATATAAATTTCTACCTACCCTCACAATGATCTTTTCAGAGACTTTTGCAGACAGCAAGTAGAATTGGTCCTGAGAGACAGCATACAGTCCAACTACCAGCATGAAGTATCTGATTTGAAATCAATTTAATCAAGACAATAATTGAAGTAATGTCTTCTCACAGAAAAAAATAAAATGTTTTAAGTACAGCTGCTATTAGTGATGCATCAAAAGATAGCCAGAACATTATTTTAGATGTATTTATGTTACAATACAAAAGAAAAAGTACTTCATTCTCAAGCAACATGTTCTTTCAATCCCCACAATCACTGAAAATGAACAAAGATTACAGTAATTTTGGGAAATTTAAGTAAGAAAGACTCAAAGATGAAGAGCATTCCTTCCTCAGAAAGAAATTATCATGATTTGGGGGTTTGGCTTCCTGATTTCGTCAGCCATCATTCTGGCTATGATTTCCTGAAGTTATCTCTGCCCATGAGGATGAAGTCTTTTCTTTTATTCTTGTATCATTCTGTGACTCTAGAAGAGAGGCCTTTAAGGAGATACCAACTATCACAGAATTTGAAATAAAATCACAGATTTGGCAACACTGAGATTTTTCACAAACATCAGCTCCATTCTAGAGTAGACTTTCTCTTTTCCACTTCATACATGCAGGCCAACTAGCTACAGCAATACCTCTGGTCAGGATTAGGTTTCCCCTTTTTTCTCATATTATTTGCTGTTGTTTCACTGAAATGCAACCTTCCCAGTGTTACTTTAGTTATCTGGTCCCCTGGCAGATCAACTCTAAAATAGAAAAGGAAACAAGATCAGGGAAATAAGCATTTGGAGATCTACCCAGCTCAAGCCAGATTTCCTCAAACTCATTAAAGCAGTTCTGAGAAAAACTGACAAATGAAAAAAAAACAGAGGGACCCCAGCAAAAACACAGTAACCCTGGTTTATAAAAACGCATTAAAAAGACAGTGACTATGTCAAGGAGATAAACAGGACAAAGCACCAGCAGTGGGAAACTGTTCTTAGTAATAGGAGTCTTGTGTTTCTTGGTCTGTTTGTACAGTCTTGAACATAATAAAACCGCAGGTGTTCTATGGGATGGGTATTTGTTGCTTGCCAAGGTTGACATTGCTTATTATTGGAACTGAATTTCCACATTAAAATAAATAAATGTTACTGCTTGTCCTTTTTTTCACCGGCACCTAATTTGTATGTCTAAAAGTATAAAATATACAGCTGTGTCTCAAATACATAGTGGCATTGCTCCTGTAAGTGATAAACAACACGAATAAAGGGTTTGCATGGAAAAAAAACCAGTCCGCCGAACGGTCACACAATTTACACACACCCAGAATCTATTTGTTGGTATGCAAAAGGAAGAAAAATGACTTGATAGAGATAATTTAGTGAAAATGAGCTCTCCTCCCAAGCTCAAAGTTCATTTTTGCAATTATATATTGCATGCAGCCTTTATCCCAGCACTGTCCTGTTGAAGTTGATGCTGTCTTATCTTTTCCTGTTTTAAGGCTTATTTAATTATTTATAGAGAACAGAACAGCTCCAACAGAAGACACTCATGCCAGAAGAACAAACATTGATTCTGCCAGTGACTTAAGATGCAGAAGAATGGCAGAGAGCTGTGGGGAGAAGCCACACAGATGTTTCTAGCAGAGGCACTCCCCCTGAAAAGCACTGCAAATACATCTCATGCCCGTGTAGAACAGGAACATTACTGCCATTTTTTAAGATGGGAAATGCATCTGCCATACAGCTCTGAACACCATACAGCAGTGCTGCTAGCTGAATATAAATATTTTGGACAGGCATTCTTCACACACTTGTAAAGCTGCTGAAAATTTTCCTTAATGAAGGGAGACCGGGCACTTATTACTATGGTGATTCTATGTGCGCACCCAGAATGGAATTCGGATACAGATCAGAAAACTGGCTTAGAATTACTGTAAGTTTCCAAGAAACTACTACTACACATTTCAAACCAATCACATGTTGAAATCAAACGGAATAATTTTCTCAAAATTCTTACTTAACAGGATGGAAAGTTTTTTTGCTTCGATCTGACTGAGACTGTTCAATAGCAATTATTTGATTTGGAGCTTCCACCTATGAAGAAAAAAAAAATTCAAAAGTGACAGGAATATTAAATTTTAAAACACATAAAAACTGAAAGAGAAGTTAACAGGCAAATTGTTTGAAAGAGTGAAATGTCTCTCATATCTCATGGAACTACACAGAAAGTAACACAGGAATTGACTTCTGATCAATTGACACCTGACAGCTAGTCTGAAGCCCCAAATCATTCTGAGGATATAATTTGAAAGAGAAAAAAAGAAAAAAAGAAAAAAAGAAAAAAAAAGTCATGCATTAATTTGCAAAAGAAAAATTGCTTTCTGAATCTAGATTGTTCTTGGCTCATTTTATCCCAAAGCATAAATGCAGATATTTAATGTGAGAACTGAATCTGTGCAAGGTAGTTCCATAAGTTATTTTAATCTAAACTTCTGTACCTTTCTGGAATGGTACCAAGCAGCACTTTGCTTCAGATGGGAACAGATGACAGTAATATTCACTAATTTCTTCTGCATTAGAATGCATTAAGCAAATCTGGTAGTAGCTGCCTTGTAAAACAGCTACATGGATTTTTTTAAATGACTGAATTTTGGTAGTAAGTAAAAAAATGTGGTAAAATCTTTCAGAAAGATTAAAATTTCTTACTACCTCTGTATATGCAAGCTTGTGGACCCATATTGGCTGGGAAGAATTTGGTTCTTAAAATGAAAATGGAAACCCTGGCAAGAAGAAATGGGCAAATTTTGTTGGTTTTCTACATGTAAACTGTTCAGGAAAACCAGATTTGATTTTTTTTTCTTTGCTTTGTGAATTGGGGTTTTTTTGAGAACTCTTTTTGACTAATGGGTAGACTGGCCACCTACACACCAGCTGACACCCCTGCACTGCCCACAGAGGGAAGAAAATTTCAGTCAAAGAGAGGGAATTCAGTGAAACCACAGCAAACAGGCAAACATGTCGTCTTTCGGCATGTATCAGCCCAAGCATCCACAAAACATCACTTTTTTTGCAAAAGAGTTCCACATAGAAGTCACTAGTAACTTAAAAGTGTTCTCTTTTGTCTTGGTCAAAAATGACTAAGAAAAGAGTTCATTTCAATTATTTACCTTATTCTATGGATAATCACATATTAACTTATTAAAAGTAATAATCACAAAGAGGAGAAATGCTTGCCTTTATTCCAAAAGGTTTCAAGTAAAACTTTTCTATTGGTTTCCCCCCCAGCTGAGTTTTGACATATTTTGGATGTCCAGTGATTCTAATATGGACTGTGATTTGGAAGTGATTCTTCTTCTGGCACACAAAGGCATCATCTGTTGTTGAAAAATTAAATCCTTTATCTGTGACAATGTGATATCCTACAGCAGGTCTACAAAAACAAGAAGAAAGAATAGCAACTTTGAGGCATATTTGAGTGACATCTTGAGTTCCTATTTTTTTACATGGTCTGAAAATTCATCTGATTTTTAATGACAAAATGGGAGCTGAAACACATCTTTACAATCACCGGTTCTACCAGTATTTTCTTCTCAGCCTCTCAGAGGTGTAAAAATGAAAATGCATATAAAATGTACTCTAATTCTAGTCTGACACTTGAAATGTTTGGAAACCAGAGGTGGAGAAGCTTACATAATCCTCACTTACAAATCTGGTACAAAGGGACTCTGTGCACCTAAAAGCACAATAAAACCTTTTAGTGTGTTCAAGCGTTCATTATAACATTGCTATAAAAAAACAGAGCTGAATGAGTGCTGCAGACAACAACGTGCTAATGAGCCAGCAAGACTCCCTGGTTTGCTCCTGAATTCCCACACCAAGTGCTTCTGCAGAAGCTGCTGGGATTCAAACACGGCTTTACTCAAGCTAGAAGAAAAGCTATCGACACCGACCCTCTGGCCAGATGACTACAAAACTCTCCTTTATAATGTTGTCCATCCTACCCCGAGTAAGGAAACTCTATTCTGTCTATTCAAAGGGCTAATTTGTCACCCAAAGAGAAAGAGTATTCTGTCCTTACGATTCATAGCAAACAAGGAAAGGTATCAAAAGATCTTTCTAAAAGAGCCAGTGAACTCACCATCCCAGCAATGTTTCCAGTCCTCTGATTTAAGTGATACATAATTCTGAAACAACAGGACTACATGGCAAGGTTCTCTTACGTGGGCGTTGGCTTTTCTTGCTAATGAAAGTTTGATAATGATGATCTCGTCTGATGCTACCGAGAACCTCTCATTAACACAATTACTGAAGATGGCTTTTCAGAACTCATCCATTTGTTTGCACATTATTAGTTGGAAAAAATCAAAATGTACAGACTTCACAAGAAATGTACAGACTTTATTATCTTTTTATAAATTACGAACAAAAGGCCCCTTTCAGACAATCACTGATTATCTAGGACACAGAATAAAGAGAAAACTACTTTGTACCTACTCCAAAACTACTAAGTCATATGTTAATTAATATTAAAAATTATAATGAAGTATCTACCATCTCCTCAAACCAATATTATTAAAGAAGAAAACTTCTTCAGTTTCTTCCTACAAAGGTAATTCTTTTTATGTGTGTACTTCATAGTAGGGAGAAGAGTAATTTTTCAGATTCAAGTGTAAAGCAAGTTCATTAGCTGATATTCTTAAAGCAATTTCAAAGTTCTTGCTTACAGGCAGGCAAGCAGATTGAGAAGCAAAAGTACAAACTGCCATTTCTCCAAGTTGAATTGTTTGGAACAACGACTCCCAGAGAGAAATTTCATGTTTAACATTTTCTGAGTATGCCATTTACAGTAATTAAGAGCAAATACATATTTTGATCTGATCTCACAAAGAATGGTCAATCTCACCAAGCAGTACAGTAAAACTCGGAAGAACTTTCAGGTAGCGAGGGATATCCCTGTCACACAAGCATCCCTCCTAGAAACACACTTCCAATTCCTCTTTCTATTCAGAATTTGAGTCTTCAGACAAAATCTTTGGAACAGAGTCCCACCAATCACAACAGTAATGGGGCAAGCAGCTAAGAAAGTGCCAAGCAGACACAATGCAGGGCATAATTAATGGTAGAGTAACCTTTTCTAATTAGTCTACCTCAGCTAACAGCATTTTGTTGTGAAAATGAAATAATCAAAAGGTTGAAATACTGGATGAATAAAACGGAAAATAATCATTAACCTGAGAAATGCCCCTAAAGCGGGCACAGCAATTTCGAGGTACAGGACCAATCCACCTACACGGAGCAGCGATAAGTACGTGACTCTTGAGGCTAACAAAATACAGGATCACCGCTCAGAAAATCCGTGCGGTAATTACAGCGCACCTTGGAGCAAAGGCGCTGCCATTGACCTCACTTAAAATTAACACTGACTTCCTCTGCAAATAACATCTCAATCCCCTTCCACAGTAGTGCCAGCGGCACGTGTATCTGGATGCTTTAATGCTCAGCATCACATTGTCTTTGTTGACACAAGCCACCAAGAAACGTGAGCCTGGAAGTTCAACTTTAAGCGTATGGGAACCACCAAGTAGTTGGGTCGTGGTGGGAAAGCAACTTCCCACCAGCAGCTCACAGCTCCCACGTAGTCGTTGACTGGAAGCGTGACGGGAGTTGGAAGCCGCTTCCATCTAGAGTGACAATTCGCATGACGAACACAGGAGGAGGTTTCTTGGCCCATCCAGCTCCCAAGGGAGTAGAAAGGTGGGGACACCGAACTGTCTGCTCTCGTGTCACGTCCATACCTTGGGAGAAGGGCTGCGTGGGACACAGCACGACGCGTACTGACCCATCGCGCTGGGCATCAACAGGGAACGACAGTGTCCAGCAACGACACTGATGCACTCCAAACTCCCACGAGTGCTTTTAGCAGGTTGGGCTCGAGGAAAATTAAAATTCACTATGCTATTTAAGTCCTGTGGAGACAGGGACAAAATGTTTGCACCAGTCCTGGGGAATAAACCAGCCACTGTAGAAGGGCTTTTGTTAAAAGGGATCTTTCACTGAATACTAGAGTGGAGAAAATCAGGGATGTAAAGTGAACTTGGAATGACCTTTGCCAGTGGCAAAAAAATTATTTACAGTTCTGATTAATACAGGAGAACTCTAAACCTTTGACTGAACAGTTGCATGTCATATATATATGTCTATAGTTACTAAGACTTCAGTTATATGAGCCCAGAAGTAATACAGGTATCTTCTATTTCCATTTTTCTTTAATGTTTTAGGCCATTAGAGGGAAAGGTGCCATATGGTCAGTAATTACTTTCCCCAATGTGCTTGACAAAAGAAACAAAAATGAACAAGTATTTTAAGTTAAAATCATTTTCCTTTTGCCCCTAAATCCCTGAAGGGAAATCAGAAAACCTGGCATGAATTTCAACCAGCGTTTAAAGTTCTGCTTCTGATACATCTGCAGATTCATATTCCATCATGCCTGCTATACCTCCTTCTCCAGTCTTATTTTCAGTAAGAACAAGAGACGCCAAATGTATCATTTATTCCTATAGAACTACAGTACCAGGGGGGGGAAAAAAAAAAAGAAAAAAAAAAGGACCCAGGAAACCACTTTTCCCAAGTGCAAACATCAGTACTTACAGTTTTTCATAATTAGAGTTAAATAAGCTGTTCCACTGAGAAATTTGATACGGTTGCCATGTTAGAGCTTGACAGCATTTTTCCAAAGCTACATTCTGTCCATCACTGTCATATTCTTGCACTTCAGCTGCAAAGTCCCTAACAGTTGCTGTAGAGAGAGAGTGACAATTCAGTTATTACTTTTGTGACTAGCCAAAAATCCTGCATAAACATTTTTATAAATATATCTACATATATACATACATATAAAGCACAAACACATTGCATATATATTTAAATCCGACTGTCCTTTGCAGTTATTCCAAAAGATGGTGTTATATTCCCTTGCCCTGGAAAATAAATTTTTCAGCTTTCCTTATTTGCAAATTATTACACAAGTAGCAGTTCCTATTTTTATTCTCTTCAAAAGGATGGATAGTTTCCTTTGGGGGCAGGCAGGGGAAAGGAAAGCTGAGCCAACCATTTTACTGTAAATCTGCAACACTGCAAGAAACAATTAAGCAAAATAACTACATAAGTTTCCCAGTCTCTCTACTACAGGTTTAAACTGAATATACTCTAACTCACTGCAACAGGGACTTTGTTCCAGAGCAGGAGGCAGTTTTCCAATAGCAAACGCATTCTTTGCTATATCTGGTTGACTGGTTAATGCTTTCTGAGATATTATACATTTTATGAAGACAGAGGAGAATGTGATAAGAGACAGATAAATGGAGTACAGTAAGGACAGGAGAAAATATGTCGTTGAGCATATCAGCTAAGATGCATCCACAGCCAGTGGCAGCACAGTAAGACAGAGCCCACAGAATCATTTCAGGCCCCAGCTTCATTTGCAGTTCCCCACTTGTGACATACAGCAGAGCAAAAATATAAGAAAAAACCCACAGTAAAGAAATTCACAGCTCATTTCTAAACGATCCCCATGCCATTTTAACCAAGGGCTGTGTGCTTTTTCCAATAGCACGTGTGTCAGTGCAATTTTACTAACAGCGACCCCCAAGGAAAGCATATTTCAAAGCTGTGTCTTTACATATTAAAAACAGCAATAGCAATTTTAGACACATCCTCTCTTTCCAGCAGTGGCAGACTTAGAGGACTAGTCACAACCAAGCAACACTGATCAAATAGAAGATACCAAAGGAAAAGTAACCTACTAAATCCAGTTGCTACTCATTAAAAATGTTCTAAAAGATTCATTTAATGCTGAAAAATAACTTACTCTGAAGAAATAACAAGCAACACTCAGATTTTCTGCTAACAGACAAGGGTGAAACTCCTCAGATAAACTGTTCATTACAAACTGCTCATTCATGGAGAGCCTCACACTTCACAGAAGCTGATCCATTTCTGCACATGCCTGATAAGCTTTTTTGATTCAATTGGTATAAGCTTAGCATTTTTATCTTGATAAAACAATGAACCAAATTAATTTGGGGAAGGGGTGGGGAAGAACACACAGCTTTTACCAAGCTTGCGCATGGACACACTTTGTAGAAAAAATAGGGAGTTGAGATGATAAAGGGAAACTGCAATCTGTTTGCTCATCCACCCCATTAATTCCCTGTTAAGCTGACCCGAGATGGTTTCTTTGCCCAGTCAATCTAGTGCCAAGCAAAGTCAGCAGAGTATGGTATCATCTGTGTACTGCAGGCTCACACATGGAGAAGGGCAGAATATTTTGTCCAGAGAGTCCTCAGGAAACAGGAGCCTCTAACGCTTCTTCTCTCTGCGCCAAATACAAATACATCTTGGTTTTCAAAAACACTGAAAAGGTAAATTCCTCCAAACCTGGTAGCGGAGCCCAGACTGTTAATACTGCTGCGTTTTCAGAGCCAGCAGGAGCTGTGCTCTTAGAATTTACTTGTCTATGGCATGAAACATTAAATTTCATTTTCACACAGTTGCTTACCTTGCCTGGAGTCCTGAGACTGGACTGGAGAATCAGGGACATCTCCCAGTAATTGTGAGAGCTTCCTTTTTTTGCCTGATGCTGCAGAACTACTTTTTTAAAAACACACGCTGCATTACTTATAAGTTTAAATACAGGTGTTACAGAATCATAACAAGAGAACACCCAGGTATCTCATTCTACCTGCACTGTCACCCAAATTCTGATCTGCCAGGGGGAGGTGATTGTTGTTGGCTTTTTAAAACTGGATTATGCAATTTTTCCTTCCAAAACATAGATCAGTTTATTTTTTTATTTCATATGAATAAAGAAGTTGATCTCTTCTTAAAAACGTACATGGTGCATAAGGGGCAGGGTTTTATTGTTTCCTGACATTTGCATTAAAATCACAGCTTTATCTTGAATAAGTGTGCTGCACCAAGCGTGAACTCACTTTCCTTCTTAAATAGAAAACACCAGTAGCAGTTAAACCAATGTGTTAATGAAGAGATCTCAAGGGGCAACTGCTGGGTAACATTTTTCCCCTTTCCCAGAAACTGAGATTTCAAAAAATACTCCTTTGTGCAAAGGAAAAAAAACTTTATTCCAAAGTTTTGATATTATAAAATGTAAACTAGAATATCCTGACAGATGGTCACTCCTTCTGGATGGGAGAAAAAAAACCCAAGCCAAACTCCAGGTCTCAGTCAGGCTGTCGGCACTCAGACTAAGGTGCAGGCAGGAGTAGCAGAAAAGCCTGCTCATCACATTAACTGTTGCTCTTTTTCTGTGTTTTTTCAAAAGTTCCACATTCGGTCAAGAAGTATTTTGTATCTTAAGTTCCAATAACCAAAGCATTCACTCAAAAAATAGTATGACTTTGACTAAGGGGCACCTTCTACTGGAAAACAAACAAAGAACACAAATAGCTCCACTGAGAAACCCAGGCCCAGCTTCCTTCACCCACGTCCAACACGTCACTGAGCTCTATAGAGAAGAGGGGACGGGGATGGAGCATCTGCAAGCCCAGGACTCACACTGACAAATTCACGTTTCTCTCCCGAAATCCAGAGTTCCCCCTCTGGCATGCATCAGTCAATTCAGTCTTACCAGGTATCATGGTTGGATACTTGCACTACCCAGTGTATTTTAAATAATTAAGCATCCACAACATGCTGGTGGGTGAACATGGCAGGTGGCGTGTGAATATCATTTCACTTCCTTACATAGATATGACAATTATATTTTTTTTCTCTTGTGCCACTTGTCAGAACACTTACAAGTTCCTTACGGACAAATCCCTGCAACAGGTATTACAAAACGCCTGAACACTTTTATAATCCAGTTATGGAGCAGTTATGTTGGTCTCTCTTTTGACTTGTAAAGTTTTCAAAATTGAAATCCATTCCTACCTCCAATTTGAACTTCAGTCAAGAAGTTTAAAGAACCCTCAATCACAAGCATCTCAAAAATGTCTAAACACTGCCATCCTGTGGAAAACCCTGCACCCACGGGGATTTGACACCAGGCCTAAACCCTGTCTTCTACCAGCTCAACTTTTTTTTCGTAGCTGTCTCGCCCTTTGCGTAAACGCTTTATCATTTACCCAGAAATCTGAGATGCATTTGGCTGAAAGGATGAATAATTAAACCCCAAACAGGTGGAGGCTGTAGAATTATTCCAAGGAGTCACAGCACTTTCTGTCTTCAGGCAGCAGCCCGGGGGGATGGCGCAGGGAAGCCCACCGGCGCCGGGATCGGAGTAAGTCTCCATGAACCTGCAGGGAAGCTTGCTGGGTACCCCAGCAGGTGGGCAGGGGAGTGGAGGCTGCAGCCCACCGGACCACGTAGCGTCACACCACGGGGCTGCAAGAAGTAAACAGAGAAGAAATTAAGGACAAGGAAAAGGAGCTGGAGACCTTCCTACGGGCTTGGGAGAGGCCCAATTCATGCGACTTACTCTGGAGCTGTGGTGGAGAACATGGTTCCGATCCAGAGTCCGGTGGGGAGTCTGGCAACTGGCTTTGCCTAGGGATGAAAAAGAAATTTTCATTTCTACTGGGAGGAAGCATGGAGGATGACCACAAGGCAATGTTGAAAGCAGCCGGAGGGGCACCATCAGGCTACCAACATGGGTCTTCAGGAAACATTGCCCACCACGGTCACTGCCCCTTCTCACAGGAGCAACGTCACTTACACTTCACCAGACCATCTCCTACGGCTCTCCGCCTCCCACCCATGCAGGGAGGCCCCATCCCTACAAGCTCGTGCCCAAACGTCCCCCCACAACCCGCTGACTCCAGTCCTCCTTCCTCCCCACGAGCCGTTCTTCAGTCGCCTCCAGGCACCCCAGTGACTCAGTTGAGTACACGGAGCCCCCAAGGGCTCTAAACCCCTTCCCTCAAGACTACAGGTCAAAGATCTGTAGCATCTTCCTCCACCGGCCGATTTCTCAAGACCTGAGCGTGTCCAAAGCGCTCGCGGTCTCCGTCAGATACCAGCAGGTCCCATTTTAGCACCTTGCTCACCACGAGAGGCAGCCCCAGTGGGGGGGGAAGCGCGTTTGCCCGGTTTGAAACAAGAGCTTTTACAAGCTCACCAAAAAGATCCAGAAGCTTAATGTGGGGTTTCCATGGGTGACAAGCTACCTTCCCTCTTTTCTGTCCTACACAATCTTACAGTTCCGTTTGGAATAACACAGTGGAGGGCCAAGAATTAATATCTTCTGTATCTAAATCACAACAGAATTGAAGACTACCAACAGGTCCATCCCAACAGCCTCCTCCAAGAAAAGCTTCAAAAAGAAAACAACCGCTCATTCCTCACAGAAGACAAGCCATTCAGTCATGTTTTAACCCAAACACCATTGCTGACTGATTATTTATAGCACCTGAGTGCTCAGTTTAAACTAAGCCTTGAAAAGGCGGGGGGGGAAGAAGGATGTTTCCCTCAGCATTTCATTGTTTATGTTCTCTTTTTCTCAATACACGAGTCAGTGATCAAAAGTCTGCGTTAATTGGTAACAAATTAAAGTACAAATTTCTTGGGTCTAGGCTCTCTTGCCCACATCCTACGGATTGGAAAGCCACCTCCAGAGCAGCTCGGGGCTGTCGGCACTCAGCCGGGCACAGGAGGAACACCCTCGGCACCCTGGGGCGAGGGGAGGTCCCAGCACCTTCAAACCCCCCAAGGGAGCATCACAGGTGTCCTGGTTTCGGCTGGGATAGAGTTA